GACCTTATGTGACTCTCTTGCAAAGGTGAATAAAACTCATAATGGCAACCTGGTAGTTTGCACGTCAGTTTATTTCAGAACACAAACCATGTCACAAAGCTCAGATCATCTCTTTCTTGGACATGACAGTGCGTTCAGTGTACTCGGATGGTCTTAACAGCCACCAGATCTCAATCCAATAGAGCTCCTTTGGTGGAACAAGAGATTGACATTAAGAATGTGCAAACAAAAAAATCAGAAGCAACTGTGTGATGCTATCATGTTATTGGCAAGGTTTACCAAAAAAGTGCCCACTGAGTGTGTGTATTATAAAACCGTTTGTCTCTCTATTGAATACCAGGGAACTCCTTCTCCAGTTCAGACAGCCACTTTGGAAAGAACAGACCAGCAAAGACTTGCAAATGCAAATACATTTGTCTAAAAAATAGTACATTCCTCTAACAGAGGCTTTAATGTGGATAGAAATGTGTGTGAAGATCTAAATGACTGCAGTGACTGCTAATAATGGAATTCACACCTTTCAGATTTTCAGCCTTGACCTGGGAGGCATCTTGACTGTGGTGTTAAATGGATACGACTGTGTCAGAGAGTGCCTTTACCATCAGGGTGAGGTGTTTGCTGATCGGCCATCACTACCTTTGTTCAAGAAAATGACCAAAATGGGCGGTAAGATGCTTTGATATAACAGTGAATGCCGTTTTTTGCAATCTAAAAAATGTTATTTTGATTCAAAATGATTAAATTCTGTTTTTCTCTTCCAATGTCCAAAGGGCTTCTTAATTGCAAATATGGCAAAGGCTGGAACGAACACCGCAAACTGGCATGCAGCTCTTTTCGTTACTTCGGCAGCGGCCAGAAACTCTTTGAGAAGAAGATCTCGGAGGAGTGCATGTTTTTTGTTGATGCCATCGATGAACACAAGGGAAAGCCCTTCAACCCCAAACATCTTGTGACCAACGCAGTGTCCAACATCACCAATCTGATCATTTTTGGCCAGCGTTTTACCTACGATGATCGCAACTTCCAGCACATGATTGAGATATTCAGTGAGAATGTGGAACTAGCAGTGAGTGGCTGGGCCCTCCTCTATAATGCCTTCCCTTACATTGAGTATGTGCCCTTTGGGAAACACCAGAAGCTCTTCCGCAATGCTGCTGAGGTTTACAACTTTCTACAGGAGGTTATAAACGGTTTCTCACAGGGCAGAGTGCCCCATGCACCACGCCATTATGTTGATGCCTACTTGGATGAGTTGGAGCAGAATGCAGGCGTTCAGGGGTCTTCCTTTTCTTATGAGAATCTCATCTATTCAGTGGGTGAGCTCATTATTGCTGGTACAGAGACTACAACTAACACTCTGCGCTGGGCCATGCTCTACATGGCTCTGTATCCCAACATACAAGGTCAGTTGTAGTAGAAACCCCCAAAAATGTTTTTACTTCTAATTATTTATTCTGAGTTTTCTCTAAATTTAATGGTTACATAATCTCACCTAATAATCTGTGTTTTTACCTACAAAGAGAGGGTGCACAAGGAGATCGACAGCGTGCTGTCCAATGGGAGGGCGCCCACTTTGGAGGACAAACAGAGGATGCCATACATAGAGGCTGTGCTGCATGAGATTCTACGCTTCTGCAATATTGTACCACTTGGGATTTTCCGTGCCACGTCCCAAGATGCAAAAGTCAATGGGTACACAATCCCCAAAGGGACCATGGTGATCACAAACCTCTACTCGGTGCACTTCGATGAGAAGTACTGGAACGATCCTGGTGTTTTCTCACCGGAGAGGTTTCTGGACAGCAGCGGCAATTTTGTGAGGCGCGAGGCTTTCCTTCCATTCTCCTTGGGTAAGGCTTCGTTTCTCAAAGCCAGCATTAGCTATGATTGGTTAAACCAAATTATTCCTCAAAGACTTTCCTGTTTATTTGCAGACTTGAGATAATTAGCCAGATGCAGTGTGTGTGTGTGTGAAAAACTAACAGTTTTTTTTTTTTCAGGGAGGCGTGGGTGCCTGGGTGAACAGCTGGCTAGAATGGAGATGTTCCTCTTTTTCACAACTTTGTTGCAGAGGTTTCATCTTCAGTTCCCTCCAGGAACTGTCCCAACTGTCACTCCCAAGCTGGGCATGACCTTACAGCCCAAAACTTACTACATCTGTGCGATCCGCAGGCAGCAGAAAGTTCCCTGCTCTGGATACACTCCTTTTTACAAGTAGTCAGGTGAACATTTTCAATGGCTTGTTTAGCCATTATGTGTTACACTACTTTGCACAACAATGCAATTGCGTGATAACTTAATCACTCTGAAGTTTCAATGCATTGCATTTTTCCAAAGCATCATATATGGCAAATACGGCTCTACATCTTATTATTTAATCCACTTTATCTAATTACTATTGCTTCTCTTTTTTTAAAATGAGCAATATGCATGTTTGCACAATGCTCTTTTTGGAAACAACTGGTGAGGCAGCAAGTGATGAAAGAACATCCTGGGAACATGAGTGTCATATTGATTCAGTTCTCTGAGCTCAGAGACTGAAATATCTGTGAACCCTGGGACAGTAGCAATGAGTAGCTTATATGCCAGTCAATGACTTACAGTATGTGCACCTGTGGCGGTTCAGCATAGCACTGGGTCAGACAGAAGACACCAGCAATTTATGTGGGTCACACAAAATGGGATGAACAGACTTTCCAAGAACGTTCGTAACACTGTGTGCTGAAGATAGACATGGGCCAAGATTCACATCATGTTGACTGACACTGACCCCTTCTCCAGGCATAACGGTCTGTGGAAAATCTTTCTCTTAGAAAGCAAATGCAACCCTGTTTTTTTCTAGAAACTGACGTTGCAACGCTGGTTTCTGTTAAATGGTGCTTCTCAGTATGTACTGAATTTAAGTGAAATGTTAACATTTGTTTGTACTTTATTTGTTTTGTAATGCTGGTGTTTTTGAAGGAGCTTTATGCACATTAATAAAGTATTTTCTAAAAAATTAAAAGACCCAACATTATTCATTTCAAATCTATAAATCATGTTCATGAGAGTGAAAAAGGAACCTGAACATAAACATGGTGCCAAGTGTAAAAAATCTGCCTAATCACACACGCACAGCTACTTGCTGCAACTACCCCTTGTGACAAGGGAGCAGTTAAATTCAGTTCAATTTTATTTATGTAGCAAAAAATCACAACAGTCCCCTCGAGTCACTCTAAATTGTAGGAAAAGACCCTAAAAAAATAGAGAGAAAACCTGCAAAATCAGACGACCCCCACCATGAATATATAAGCAAGCACTTGGTGACAGTGGGAAGGAAAAACTCCCTTTTAACAGGAATAAACCTCCAAGAGCTGAAACCAGCTCCTTTAAAAATGTTTTTCTACCTATAATTCTACTCATAGGTAGAAAAACTAAACAGGCACAGTATGCCCCCTTTGTTAAAGGTGTAGACATTGAAACCATGGAGACAATCCACTCATGAGTCAAATGATTATAAATCAAACTACTAAGATCAAACCAATACATTGAGAGACGCTCACATTTTGTGTACTGATCTTGTGTGGAATTGAAGTGACCTGATCCTTCGTAAATCAAGCATAGTTTGTACATGTACTGTTCCATAAGAGGAAGTGAATACACAGTTGGTATATCTAATGTCTTTAAGGTTATTCTCCTGTTTTTATGGGGTGGCATGGACAAAAAAGAAAAAAGAAAAGAAAAAAAAAAGAAAAGAAAAGAAAGGCGTATATATTTTGGGCTCACACAGACAAACACAGACACCAATAAAAATCAATGAGAACTGCTGATACTTGAGGGATGGTGTTTTATGACAGCTATAAATAACAACAAAAATCTGTTGCCTCCACAGTGTAGATAAGGGTGAATGGTTACATTAGACAAACGTACGTATATTGATGCTACATAAGGGTAACAACCATTCATTGATGTATTTATGGCACAATCATCAGAGGACACTGTGGTTTGAAGGACTGCACAGCGAGAAGCCAACAAACTTTTACAACTTAATGAGCTGGAATACATCAGATCAGGGGCTACCAATGCTTTATAGTCCAGCACGGGTCCATGTGAAAAAAAGAAGAAAATAAAATTATGACACGTTTGTCATATTGTTTATGGCTCTGAGTCCACCCGCTATTCTTAACACTGTCACTGCCACTTTGATCCCAGTGGAGTATTTGACACGAGCTGCTTCTCTTTTCACAAACGGTACCGGAGCAATTTTTTTGTGTGTGTGTGCGCGTTTTGCCAATCAGCTCATCACGGCACACAAATGAATCCATGTAGGTAACGTTTGGCACTAGCTGGGTCAGGTGATAAAGACAGGGACAGAGAGAGACGATGAAGAATATAAGAGTGGTTATGATACAGAACAGACAGACGCTGAAGTTGGAAAAATGAAAAAAATCTAAATCAAAACACCAAGCCCCAGAGTTCCACACCTGGAAATAGAAGTAGATAAAAACTTTGGAAACACAAAGGTAATTACAGGATCGCAATGTACAATATGTCAGCTGTGTGTAGAAAACAGATGCATTCATTTGATTATTTTAAAAATATATCTTTATATGCACATACTCTTTTGTACAGCGGCTAAACACTTGTTTGGTATTAAAATGTGCACATCTGTATCTATTTTGTGTCTTTAAATATTACTATCTCAGTTTGCACTGCTTACTTAACATTTTCTCCAAACAATATGATTCAATAAGGTGAGAAAGGAGCTAGGTGACAGTTCTAACTTCCCTTTGATATAATGTCTTATTCTAGTGGAATGCCAAGAGTTCTTTAACCTTCCTCATGGTAGGTTAGAATATATATTTATATGTATATATATAGAAGCAAAACCAAAGTGACATGAAACTTTGGATCCCTTCTTTGCAAACTGGCCAAGTCATAAGTGTGAACAAAAGAGAAAAGTTTGTCTATCTAAGGTCTGCATTTAGATACTGTACTGTTAAAATGAGAGTTTGAATTTTAAATCATTTTAAAATTCAATTAAAAAAACCCTAAAAAAACCCAAACACACTGTTATAGCATGTGTGCATGATGTGCTGCTGCTACAGAAGACACATTTGCAGTCTGCTGACAACCAAGAAAGGCCTTTCTCCAGTGAGATTGTAAAAAGGTTACGCAAACAGTGTATGGATGGCCAAGAGACGGCGCATACCGCATGTCCCTCTGTCACAGAGGATTTCTCGAGGATTGCTTGAATTTGTTTGTAGTCGAGTTGTTCATTGAGAGATTACAAACTACTTCAGTCACCCAGATTTTTAATCTTCTTACGTTTGAAAGTGTATTTCATATTAATGACAAACTCTTGCAAAATAATTATTCAACTTTGCGTGAATCCTGAGTAACCTTTAAAAAAATACTTAGAATAAAAAAAAAAAGGAAAATGAAGAATCCATTCATTGAATCGGCACTCCTGATCTGAATGCGACATGTTAAACACCAACCAGACGACATTTCACTGATTAGAAATCAACTGTTGCTAACAGGACAAACAAACATACATACAAATTACATAATAAAATAATTAAAAATCTCGATCTCTTTCTCCCTGCTCATTCTCTCCGTCACATTCCGGACAAAAATGTTCACACATTCAAACGAAACAAAGGACAGAGAGAGAGAAAAAAACAAAAACAAAACCCAAGAAGACAGGTGGTACGCATGAGTAAAAGCATCAAAAATGATGCATATATAATGCTATTAATCAGTCAACATTTCAATACTGTCTCTGTGACTGAGTCTGATACAGTGTTTCGTGTCACCAGCAAGGAGAGAACTACACAAGCCTAGGCTCTGGGCCAATATGGACTTAGTAAAGGTTCAGACAGGCACATTTGCTATATATATGTATATATATATATATATTTACATATATATAATTCAAAAATATACCTGACATTGAAGCTGAAACAGTTTCAGTCTCTTGTCTTTCCTTTGGTAAAGGGTATCTACCACTTCATGATGTCATTTGCTTCAGTATGTTTCCTCTACCTTTCCTTTTGAAATACACAGAAACTGTTTTTGTACCTAAGGGAGGTGGTAAGTGTTAAGCGCTTTGCATTCAAGGCAGCATCACAGCCAAGTTACCATGGAGGACAAGTTCATCCTGGACGTCAGTCCACGCTCTTCTTTTTCTGCACCTTCTGCCTCCTCAGTCCTGGTGCGTTTCTCTGGGTGCACTTGACTCTCCATGGGGTGAAAGTGCATAGGAGTTGGGCCCCCACCGTTGCAGTAAGGATCCGCTCACAGTAGTAAGGCCTTTTTGTTTCTCCAAAAACCACGTGACTGCTTAAGCATTTGAGTGTCAGCACAGTGAATCTTTCAATATGTTTGTGTGGGCGTGTGTAAGAGAGAGGGAACGTGTGTTTTATGTGCATTTGTCAAATGTTAAAGTCGGTGAAAGGCAGGTGGTTGAGGGCCTCGTGCCCTTGTACTGCCTCTCCTTTTCTTGTCCACGCGTCTGCTCCTCTTGCTGCTACTGACGCTCCTCCCCTTCTTCCTCCTCTTGGATGACCTGGATGTCATCTGACGGAGAGGTGGGCAAACTGTCTGGCTGCTGCTGTTTGGCAAGCTCTTTGCTCTTATCCTCCTCATCGATGACCTTCTTCCACACCTTGTGGTTCTCTGTCAGGTGCTGCATGATGCTGCAGAACAACCTGCGCCGTTTTTTCCTCCTTCCTACAACAACACCAAAAATAAAAAAATAAATGTGTTTAGGGAATTCCACACTGGTGTAACTGTAACGTAAACATAAATTATTCTTTATTTTCTCAACACATCAACCGACTCCCCGTCTGACCAGGGTGGGAAATAGTCAGAGTTTGGTGCCCTGAGACTGTAATTAAAGGATGGACACACAGTGACATCACTCATTAGTTTGTAAAGTCCCATTTATAAGCCTTGATTATTTATTTTTAAAATTTCACCAGACATCACAGGTGGAGGTGGATCCAACTAAGAAACAAGAAACACTGGCCACTCTTATGATTTTTTAAAATCACAACAAACAAATTACATAAATAAAAACAATGTTTGATCAACTAATTATAAAATTATGTACTAAATAAACATCAACATGCCGTATGACTTGAAACCTGGGACTGAGACTGTAAAAGTTTCACAAGTGCTATAAATTACATTTTACTTTCATACAGATGGTCTTTAAGAGAGTCGCCCCCTGCTGGCTATCAGGACGAATGAGATATTTTGCATTGCTTTAACTTTTCAGACCTGCAGGCTTTGTTGATATATATACAGTGTATGA